TAACATTAAGAAACACATTAGAAACACAAAAGAAAAAGCTTAATTATCTTGCTAAAGCTTTATAATGAGACCTAATGGTTTGTAACTTTTTCCTTCATGGGCTGTCAGAGCTCTAGTGTTTCTTTGCATATATAATCCGTTCATATGCTTAGTTAATGGATGTCTTAACACTTATCCCATGTGTCATAGTACATGTTTTGATGGTTTCAAACAAGGATTCAACTTGTAGTCCTGGATTAGACACGTATTTGCATCAACAAACATCTCATTATGTGTGCATTGTCAAATGTACTTATAGCTGAAATGTTGTTTCTACTTCTTGCGTCACCAAACGGAATCCCTAAAACATTTTCTGAACACTTGTCAAAACAAAGAGTCTTTGAGATATTTTTGCCTGTTTTATCATCCACTATAGACAAATCATAAGCTTGATTGCTCTGAAAAGTAAAAGCGCACTACTCCTCAATACACTGCATGATTTGAGGTCTTACGCATGTTAAATAGCACTATAGATATGTCCATTAGAGAATATCTGCCTTCCTAAATCAGTACATTCGGGCTCTGTGTAATCAGATCATTAGTTTGTTTGTGCTGAACTTCATAAAGACTTGTTTGGTAGCTCATTTGTGAGCGAGAGCCATATGGTTCGCTCATTGGGCATTAAATATTCCTACTGGCACAACGATCAGATTTTGACAGATAATTTGTTTCCAGTGTGACAAGGTTTTGCAGCAAACAACTTATTTATGAGGTGCAATAGCAAACAAATATGCGAAAGACCATCTAGATGCAGCTCGTCTTATTGGATAAAGATTTCACATATGCACATGTGCAAAGTCACTTATGCTATCACGAAGAACAGCTCAGAGCTCTTACTGAAGGCCACGGGAATGGAAAAAAAGCAGCGATTTCAGCTCTGAAAATTGGGTGAGAATTTATTCCTCAGTTCCTGAGGTAAGCAATGTGAAAACGCTGACACTTCGGGAGAATTTACCGGCCTCCAAACCTTGAACGAGTTTCTCAAACTCAAGGTTAACTCGCACAGAAAGCATTTGTCTAAATCACCTGCAGGCGTCTGCAAAAGCCAGTCTGGGTCATCTGCTGCCTCTCTGGCGTAAGTGGTCTTGGACTGTCTGCTCAAAATGTAAAAAACACATCAAGCTTTTAGTGTCACAGCTCATTCAGGGGTTTCCTGGACATTGTTATTCAAATCAAAACATTTATGTCAGTCAAAAAAGACAATCACAATTTTCATTTCATGCTGACATTAAGAGACTATGTTTTGTAATGTAACATCGAGACCAATTTTTGGACAAAATGAAGATTAAAAATAATCAAATTAACCTCTTTTATTTATCTACAAACATACACTAAAGCATTTTAATTCATTTAAAAACACTAAGTGATAAAACAAAATTGAATCAACATTGGGAACGGTTCAAATATCACCAGTGTTCTCTCGCACTATGTTGGAAATTCCGATTTCCAGAGGTGAACAGAATGCAGCATCAAATAAGTTCAAGGAATAATCATATTTATTTGCACCAATATAGCCTATCAAAAATATATTAAAACATGAATACAAGTCAAGGATATTTATCTACATACACGAATAGCATATAAATAAGTGTAAAAGCACTATGGATTGAGGATAACAAATCAATGAAATGGCCTACATTTTTGGAACGGTTCAGAAATCGGCAGCGTTCTCACTAGGCTAGGCCTATTCCAAAAATAAAGTAGGAAATTCCGAATTCATGAGTGGAATGAAAAGCAGCACCAAACAAGTTCAAGGAATAATCATATTTACGTACCAATATATCAAAACATTAAAAAGGAAATTGATATTTATCTAGGAATGGAATGGTTCAAAAATTGGCAGCGTTCTATCGCATGGTTCCAAAAAGGAAGTTGGAAATTCCGAATTCGTGAGTGGAATGCAGCATCAAATAAGTTCAATGAATATATACACTCTAAAAAATGCTGGGTTGTTTCAACCCAACTTTTGGGTTAAAACTTTAATTCAAAAATTTAACCCAACAGCTGGGTTAGTCCATATTTGACCCAAAGTTGGGTTGAAACAACCCAGCATTTTTTAGAGTGTAGCCTCGGCTACCAAAATATCAAATAATATATCAAAACATGAATAAAATAGGCAGGCTATATCTACATACATTAACAGCATTTAAATTAATATAAAACAGTCTGATTGACATGACAAGAGCAACAAATCAATGAATCTACTTTTGGAAAGGTTCAAAAATCGGCAGCGTTCTATCGCACTACTCCAAATTGGAAGTCGAACATTCCGAATTGAAAGCATGTAGGCATTTTTGCGCTGCATTTAGAAAAAGAACAGAAAAAAAGCATGTGCTGTAAAGTAGGGTCAGCTACAAAGCCAAGTCAATCATTGGTTTATCCTCTCTATCAGCCACTCGCAGCTGACAGAAAGCTTCTCTCAGGACGTGTCTCCTCATAATTATCCCAGACAGTTTAGGTCAGTCTGTATTACGCGGCTTGTGCTTTATGACGAAGCATCCCACACACAAAAAAAAGAGAGCAAAAAAAAAAAAAAAATCGCTTAATTCTCCGAAGGATCCTGACAGGCCGCGGAGGCCGCGGGGTGAACGAGTGACAAAACCGCGTGGCGGATTTAGCGGTGTGAGAAACACAGTATCGTTATGAAACCGCTTAAAACAGACGATGTAAGTTAGGCCTGTATGTCCCCAGCCCACTGTATTTTGTCTTAATCTTCAATCTTTCGTATTTCTCCTCATCACGCAAATCCTTCATTCATCTTTCCCACCCACACCTTTGCTAAATCAATATTTTCTTTAGGTTTTGAGGATTTACAAGATTACTTTTGGATGGGTGGGGGGAACTCTTCTCGGCTCCTATCGCTGTGCACAGAGAATCTGCAGTTGCCATGGCAATTTCAGAGAGGAAGGGAAAAAAGCAGGAGTCATGACTTAACGGCGAGATAACTGGTTTCATTTTATTAAGCCGAGGCATTGTCCATCATTACTGACAAGCTGATTTGAACAGCGCAGCCCGAGCGGCTGCTGTTTTTAATGAACGCGACATATATATTTATATACATTTCAATAGGTCGAGGTAATGCGGGCTTCGAGTTGCCACACAGAGAGCCTCACGAGGGCACCGAGCTAACGGAGCGACGCAGACCTGCGTAAACATCTTAAGGATGAATGACAAACCCGGGAACACGGAGTTCTGCTGTATTCCTCACAAAATATGGAAGTACATTCACAGTCTCGAAGTTAGTTTTGCTTATACAACTTGTTTTCAAATGAAAAGGACATCACATCCTCAGTGTCGACGACTACGTGATGCTGGAAGGATACTTACATAGGCCTAGCTAGCCTTCTAAGCATCCTTACTGACAATTATTATTTTTTGGATGGTTTAATAACATTTTTTTGTTTAAAAAAGAAAAGAAACAACCAATCCAGCAACATTTCACACGTTTAAGAGCCCAGTAAAATTAAAAACTGGTTTAAAGCTAATAGGGCATTTGGACAGATAAATAAATAATAATTTAATTAATTAAATCATAGCCTATGAATATCAATTTCTGTCATATTAAACTGTTGCTGCTGCTTACATCCTGACTAAAGGAATACAAGGACAAACTTACATTGAAAAAAAAAGTTTAAAAACTACAGGCTAACAAGCAAAGCTTTGTCTGCAAATTAAGGTTTCACCCACGCCGTACTGCCAATAGAAATAATTTCTCTTTAAGGCTGTTAAGGCTAACTTTGGTGTAATCTATAAAAGAACCAACTAACACTTATTTCAGTGACCATGTGTACTCAGCCCACAAAAAAAGTGGAAATCTGTGTAAGTGGACTTTCAAGTAAATAAATGTATATTCAGTTTAATTTTATAGTGTCTCAGTCTCAGTGCTGTTGTTGTTTTTTTGGGATTCAAGTGTTCTGATAATAAAAAAGACTGTACAGTAAAATGTAAAGTTTTTATTATTATTATTAACTGATTAATTAACTAATTGTTATTATACGCAATAATGATAAAATTATATTAAAAAGACAGGAATGTATTACTATTTTACAGTACAATAAAAGTAATTCAATTACATTAATACAAATATTAGGCTACATTCGATAAAACCACAAAACAACAGAAAATATCACTTGTACAATAGTAATAAAATATAAGTAATATTAATTTTATAATACATTGATGGCATTAAAATAGTAATATATTTCTGTCTTAATGTTCATGCATTAAAAACCTCAAGCTTTTACTTTGGCTGAAAATGATTTCGAATGGGCGTCAATAGAGAAAGCGTCTTTTAGCAAGATGGTATAGTTACTACATCTACTGTAACAGCATTAACTTCACAAGTGTCTAGGATGCTTTACATTGGCAGCAACCAATTATATTTACATTGGCATGTTGCTAAGCTAAGAGTCCATTTTCGATTGAGTTTAGCTCATTGATAGGAATTGCATATTTATAATCAACATTTCTCATGGCTTCTCTGCATCTTGGTGCTTTTTCAACAAGCTCATCGTAATGCATTCTGGCATTGGCTTCTGTGAAGTATACATGCTGTTTTGCATGAAGCAATAATGTTGCAAACCTACCTTTGATGTCGAGAGCCCACCTATGATGCTTTAAAATGCACAGAAACAAACTGCCTCGTGCCAACTAAGTGAACTGTTTTTATAACTACAATTTAATCGACAGCAGATGCATCTTCTTTACAGCGTTTATGACTTTACTTGCTTTGTTAGAAGTGACATGAAAATCTTTACATACCAAAGACAGCATTCTGCAGCGTGGATAACCTGCTGTGGAAGAACATGAGCAAGAAGCACACTGCCGTTCATAGTGCACATAATTACTTGTGATTAAAGCTGATCCGACAGCCTCATTAAAACACCCCAAACCAGAGTCATTTAGTGCACAAACCCAGTGTGAAAGCAAGTCTGAAACAGAAATTCGAAAGAAAAAAAAACTTCAATGGTATTACCAGTTTATTTCAACAATCAGACAGCAGGATTCTTCAGCACATATGCTGCAACTTGGATAATGAATAAGCATCAAAAAGGCGGCAATGAGAGACGCATACATCTTTATTGTACAAATTACAAAACATCTGCACAAGATCTTCCCTTAAGCTCATTATAATGGTTTCTGTTGGAGGTTAGAGATGGGGAAAGGCAGATGCGTCGCTCTGTTTCGTCTCTCTAGCTGCTGTGGCCCTGCAGTGCCTCTGCCATGAAGAGTTTCCCAAGGTTCTGCGAGGTGAACTCCTTAATGTTCTGACAGTAGTTGTTGATTTGTCCTTGTGAAGAAGCAGAAGGAAACAAATTAATTATATACAACAAGACCAAGCGATATTGATTATTTAACTGTAGCGACTATTTACACCCAGGAGTAAACAGCACTGGCCACACAGCAATGGTCTGGAGAAGCCAGACAAGCCACAAGAAAATCAGAGTTTGATGTCAAGGACTTGGCATATAACTGCAGTTCTCAATCCTGGTCCTGAGGGACCAGAACACTGCACATTTTAACCCTCTGGTGCTCTTTGGTCATTTTGGACTAAAAATGCGGTTTCGTTTTTTTGTTTCAATCATTTTTTTCAGTTCATCAGAATGGTATGAAACTTTGTAAAGGTTTTGGCACTTGCTATGTGAACACACACACACACAAAACATGATTAGACATCGACATGAAAGAAAAAGAAAAAAGAAAGACTGAATGGTCCAGAAAAAAGTCCTTTTTAAGATATCAACCTCAAATTTGGAACACAACTTGTTCAGACTTATGACTTTGGTTTTCTTGCAGTTTTGGAAAATACAGGATTCATTTAAAATTTAAAAAGGACATAATAGGTTAGGTACCCTTTAAGTGTGTGTTTTCAAAGCATTCAAGATTTATGACAGTTTAAGTTGAAAATTTAAATTTTAGGTCTATTCTAAAAAAAGTGGCTAACAGATGATAAATGGATTATAAATGGCAGCATAAACAATTTAGTACCACAAATCCCCTAAAAATAAAAAATATTACATAAAAACACAATTAAACTAAAATATATAGTAGGGTTGTGACGGTGAGGAAATTTTCCCACTGGTTAATCGACGTGTGATAACACCGGTAATACCGGTTGCGGCTTAACACCGGTATCACCGTCAGCACCGTCTATCGCGGCAAGCCTAATATATAGTACATTTAATTTCATCGAAATGAAGGTCATTTTTGACTGCCTCATGAGCAGCACCAGAGGGTTAAATCTGACACACCTGGCTCAGGTCTTGGAGCCTCAAAATGAGCTTCTGATATAAATCAGGTGTGTGGAGTAAGGAGAACATCCAAGGTTTCTATATTTATACATTGTTTCTGCAAATTCTAAAATGTCAAAGTAATGGTATTTAATTGGCTAACAGACGTGGTTTTGTGATAATTGCGAGAATGACTTGTAATGGCCTTGGTGCATCAGCTGGAAGGGGCTGAAAATTGCAAACAAATCTGTATGCCATTGTGGATTCATGGAGTTTCAGAGTTGTATAATTTCCAGATCATAATGAAAATGTAAAAAATAAAATACTATAAATAGTTATATTTATGATTATTAATAAATGTGTTTTTGTAACAAATATTTACCAAAAAAATATTTAAAAAGTAGCCAGTATTTATTTATTTTTTTACAATTTTGACAGGGCAGGTTTTAAATAAATTAATTTAAAAAATAATAAAAATAAATATATTAGTAGAACTTTTTCACCTTTTCCCAAAGTGCGTGTCCAAATAAGTACTGGCTCAACTGGGACAGCTAAGCAGAAAAAAAAAATTATTGTTGAGCCCTGACTACATGTAGAAATGGACAAAATTAAACTTAATTAAACAAGATTAATCATGTTGATGGGGGGAGGGGGGACTATTGACAAGCTTAGTACTTAATCATCCTCTTCAGAGATGATGTTTGTCCGATAGAAGAGGCCAAATCTAACTGCGACTCCATCGGGATAAGAACATGGTGTGAAGATTTAAGACCTGCAGTTATTCCCATTCCCATTTAAACGGATCCATTCATTGCTGAATTGATCAATTCATGGATCGATTCTTTTAGACAGAGGACTATAAATTTCCAATGCCCTGCAGAATATGCTGGAAGAAAAAGGCGTTTAATTGAGGGTGAACGGCGACCGTTGACCTCCCGGGTACCTGCGATGAGGAGCGTGTCCATGCGTGCAGGCGCCTGCGGAGGTTTGAACATCTTACTGATGTCTTCTTCCGGTAACGGAGGCTCTCCACGACTCTGCCGCTGGGCGTTTTCCTGCTGCCTCCTTTGGAGATACTAGAGGAAAAGAGTGTGGAAAATAGGAGAGAATGAGCTAAGGAGAAACTAGAAACTTTTCATGGAAGAACTTGGCGTGACCCAAGCAGCATCAAAAAGACAAAAGGTTTTCAAAGATGAAAACTGAACCAGAATGGAATACAGAAGGATTGCAATTCCCAACAACACCGCTGGCATAAAATAGCCACATCGCTGGCGAGTTCATTTGAAGAGCAAGTCAGATCGTCCCTAAGAATACAGATGCATTTCTGGGCATCAGGACACTTTAGGATCACTACATGCTGTGATGCTGTGTACTGCAAGCTTTAGGGAAAACTTATTCAAGCATGCGTTAGAGAGGCAGACGGGCGGTATGAAGGTGTATCTACACAGTGCAATGGTCAGAGATTACATCCTTTTGACCAAGACATTTCCATGACCTCATGACAATCTTTGACTACATTTTAAGTCTCAAATAAGTCTAGACCAAAAAAAAAAAAAAACAGTTATTAAAAAATAAGGAATAAACAAACGAGAAACAAAGAAAAAAGCAAATGAGAAAGAAATAAAAAGCAATACATAAATGCAAAGAAATAAAGAATATTCAAAATAAATAGAAGAGAAATAAACTAAAAATCAACTACATAGAAAAGAAATATGAGAACAGGAGAAATAAAATAAAAAATAGAGAAATGAAGAAAATAAGAATAAAGAGAATTTAAAAAATAAAATAAAATATAAGAGTATATGGATAATTAAAAAGATAAAATAAATAGAGAAAAAGAAAGCAAAAACATAAGACAACAATAAGAGAAATATGAGAACAGAAAAATAAAAATACAGAAAAAGATTAAAAAAGAGAAATGTGAAGAAATAAATCAAGAGAAATAAAAGGAGAATAAAAAGGACAATTAACTACAGATTATAAAGGTACAAATAAGAAAAACACAAGAAATTAATAAAAAGTATTATAAAAACTTTTTATAAAAAGTAGAATAAAAGAATGAAAATTATTAAACCAAATAAAGGAGTCAATAAATAAAAACAGGATAAATTGATAAATTAAAATAAAGAAATAAAAGAAATACAGAGAAAAATAAGAAATTAAAAATAAACAATAGAAAAAACAAAGATGAGTGAAATATGAGAAAGAGAAATATAAATAATGAGAAATAAAGGAGAATAAAAAGGATAATTAATAAAATAAATATAAAGAGAATAATAACTGAAAAATCAAAAGCAAAACAAATCTATAAAATACATAAATGATATGAAGCAGCTTTGTGTTTAATCCACAGGTTTATCCAAAATTCTGCATTACAGGGAAAAAAACTAAAACCTATCACTATATCCACACGGTTAACGTGACATACCGCCCACCTCTGACAATACAGCAGTGTCATTACTTCAATGTACACCTCAAAACAGGTGGATCTGACATATCTGAAACTGCAAACAGCACAGCTCCACAAGTCCTCGATTTGCCCTAGTTTTGTCAAGCTCGACCATTCAGGGCTTCTTTTTTTTTTTTGAAGGTGCAGTAGATCAAATTTGAATATATTCATGGGAAAAAAGACGAGTGGAATTCATATCCTATTTGAGTTGGTGCGACTTGTGTCACCATTGAGGATACCGGCCATTTTTTTTTAAATTAGGCATATGATTTAGGAATGCAAACTGCCAACACAGCTGCAATTCTCTTTGATATTAAATGGTGATGGATGCGGGTCATTTGGTTTATATGGTTCACCCGGGGACCGGCGCGCGGAGACAGGAAGCATATGATCGATGACAACAGTAATTACGGCAGATTTCAGCGTGCTTGGTATAGGAGCCGTTGTGGCGACCTGATCGTGACCAAGCCACTGGGGTCTGGCCTCATTTACGGCGCCGTTTGAGGGCACCCTTTAAATTTCTTTGAAAGGATCAACCATCCTGTCAAACAGGAAGTGCTAACGGTCTGATAAACACTGAAGTCTCACTGGAGAATCGTCCCCCTGATTGCAAAGTGTGTTTTGTTCTGGAAGAAAGCAATGTTTTTCAAAGTGCTAATGAGGCAAGCAGCAACAGGCAAGAGGCGTAGAGAAAAAAAATTCAATATTATACAAAAATAAAAGCCATTTCAAAACCAACCACGATTTAATCCAAAAGGAGAAGTTTAGTAGATTGTCTCAGGTGCTCTTTTTCATAAAATGAAAGTGAATGAGGACGGGGGAAAAAATGTGCGTTTCTTCACATTTCGATTAGAGAAAGGTAAACAGATAATTTAATAGCAGTGTTATTTTAGTATTAAGTATATACCATTGTAATATTTATTAATATTTTAATTCGCTTTTATTTTTATATTTTCATGTTTCATTTTAGTATTTTTTTATGTGCTTTTGTCATTTTTACTGGTCTTTTTTTTATAAAACATTTCTATTTAGCTTTATACTTCAGCTTTAGCTTCATTTGTGTTTTTTTTGTGTGTCATTTTAGCACAAACATTTTATTTAGCCGTCAAGGAAACATTTCTAATGCTGTCCAGCTACAAAAATGACAAAGCATAATAAAAGTACCATAAAGAAACTTGTATATTTTCTTGTGAATATAGTTTTAAACAATCATTTTATAGTGAGATCGGTGTTATTTTATCATTCTGTATATACTATTATAGTATTTATCAATATTTTTAATTAACTTATTTTTTGATTTCCAGGTTTCATTTTAGTTTAAGGTAGTCCTTTTTTTTTATTTTGTCATTTTTTAATTTTGTATTTTCTTATTTCTATCTATCTATCTATCTATCTATCTATCTGTATTTTTCATTTCACATTTTTTTTTGTTGTTGTAATTTTAGTATTCAACTTATTGTATTTTATTTAGTTGTCAAGGCAAAATTTCTGATGCTGTCAAAAAATGACAAAAAAAGCATAATAAAGGCATAACATAAGAAACTCATATGACTTGCATTCTATTTGGGAAACCTGTTTGAAAAACATTATTCTGCTCATTTGTTGATGCTTGTAGAGCAAAAAATTACACACTTTACCTTAAAATTGTGGCCCATTCCTCTTTTAAAACTATTGAATGGTTTAATAAGACTTGAAAATATAATGCAAGTTATACAGACCATTTCTATGTGTTTTTTTCTCATTTTTGGAGCCTCATTCACTTTCATAAGGAAAACAGTGGCTTGGACACTCTGTAAAATATCTCCATTTGGATTACACACACAAAGTCAAATGGACGTGTCATTTTTTATTGAACTATTTCTTTAAGGGCTTTTCTATTTTTTTTTTCCAGGCATTTCCTACTAATTAACATCTTCCATTGAGCTACTTTCTCTTTAATTAACATCTGTAGGCTTGGTTCACTGCTGAAGACCATCGCTGATTTTTCCATTTTTCTGATTTACTATAGCCAGAGCATTTCCACCTGGGAAGAGCAAGCTCTCCAGGGTAGAGAACAAAAACAGAAACGAACTTTGACAAATGTGCAACCATTCCAGCCGTTTCTGTCATATTCATAGCGTGACGACATGTTATCATGGAGCGACTTGAAAAATAGGGTTTGGCGTTATCTGATTTCAAGGGTGGCCTCTCTTCAAATGATCCCGTTGTACTTACATAAGGTCAGATATAACACAACTCCATACAAAATGAACCCAGAAGCGTCCCGTACTATTTCACACTCCTCTTTCTGTTGTCAGGTGGTGCTCAGAGCTCATGTTTACAAAATACCTGCAATTCAAAAACCTGAAAATGTCAAGGGCATTTTGGTCGATTTGTCAGCCTGGCGAAATGGATAAAATTATGAATCTGAAGCAGGTAATGATTGTAAATTAGATGGCCCTCCTGAACCCTAAATAACCATCTATTGACCGGTTTTACCTCAGCCAGAGAGCGACGTCAGCCATTTACAGTACAGGTCATTCCTAGCATGCAGCACATTTTCATGTCCTCATCATATATATATATAGGATAAAATATTAAATCACAATGTCAAAGATGGAAATAAAATTAGTTTTCTTTTATTGCAATAAATCAATTAAGTGAACATAAAAATTTCACTACTTAAAATTATTTAACTAATTCGATTTGACTGTCATTTTTTTCATGTCACCAGGTGCTGCACTTACTTCTAACATGAAAAACTGGTAATTTATAAAGAAACACTCCTAGAGTTTCTTCATATTTCAATTAGAACAGTTTCAAACTAAATTTTAATTGAGCAATTTTGCCTTGTCTATATACTATTATAAGTAGGGATGTAACGACTCACTCAACTCACGATTCGATTCACAATGTAAATGTAAATAACAAAACTAAATTGAAATTTTAAAACAAGCCCAAAATCAAATAAATAACACATAAAATAAATCTCTTCACATAAACAAACTAAGGCTTTTTCTGTGCTCTTTCTATTTAAAATTAGAGGCAACCACTGCGTTTTAATTACAATCCAAACAAAGATGCTACATGCATGAGCATTTTTTTCAGATTGCATAATTTTCTAAATTTGAAGTAAAAACAGAATGGTCTGACTGTAGCTTTGTAAAATTGTTACATAAAACATCTGAACAAAACAAAAACAGCAGACGAGCTGAATTAGAGTGCAGATTCACTCTCTGACAGCAGGTGGCGCTTATGGAGCAGCAGATATAGTGTTTCCTCGGTTACTGCTGTAAACAAAACAGCACTGTACTTATGAACACTACTTTAATATGCATTACACAGAGGCAAGATGAACAGAAAACGCCATATAACCTTTCCGAAGATGGTCAGTTCTCTTCAGAAACACAATCATATTAAACCTCACCCACAAATGTTTCGCGATTCATTTAACATCTCGACCAACTTCAATAATCACACATTTTTATCAATTTTCAACCGGCTCAGGGTACATCGTTACATCCCTACGTAAGAGTAGATGCAGTCATTTGTAGCTTCTAGCTTTATTCTTCTAGCTACAGTGGCTAAAAATTCGTAAGGCTTGCACATTGATAGAAAATGTCTTACTTCCACATTGTAAAATAAGATGGATGCATCACATACATGTTTTTTCTTTTCATAGAAAACAGAGTGGATGACAACGACATGTAACCATGCCCTCTACGCTATCTGCGATGTGTTCACGCAATTCTACGAGCCTCTCAGCGAGGTGCTTCTGGCGGATATTTTCGCACAGCTGCAGTGGTGTGTGAAACAAGGTGGGGATTTCGCTCATCTGTTGTGCTAATCATGAGGGAGAGTTTAGGAATTTTAAGACATTGCCCTGCTACTTGCTGTACTTCATTCCCGATGGACATTGCAGATTCACTCTCTGCCAGCAGGTGGCGCTTAAAGCGTTTCCTTGGTTTCCGCTGTAAACAAAGCAGCGCTGCACTTATGAATTTTAATATGCATTATACAGAGGCAAGAGGAAAAAAAAAATATACCATCGAAAGACAGTAAGTTCCCCTCAGACATACATTCATATAAACTCCTACCCCTAACCGAATCGCGATTTGTTTAGCATCTCAACCGATTTGAATCGTCACTTATTTAAATCGATTTTCAACCAGCTCGTGGTTAATCATTACATCCCTAATTATAAGTATAGAATATTTTGATTTAGCTTTTATTTTTTTATTTTAATTTAAGTTTTAGTAATTATGCTATATTCTTTTGTCATTTACTTTTTTCAACATTTCTATTTAGATTTAACTCATTTTTTATTTCAGTTTTATTTTGTCATTTTAGTATTTATAAAAACTTATTTTGCTTCAGTTAGTTATTGAGGCAACATTTGTAATTTATTTATATTTATATTTTGTTTCAGGTTTATTTAAATGAAGAAAACTCAATCGTCATTGTAACATCATCATCCTCCAGGAAGTGACATCATTTTGAAGGGGAAAAACTATTACCATTTACTTATGCTTGTAAATTGTATGTTCATTATCAATAATAAAGTTTATGCATCTGAGCTTGACCAGACCATATTTCTGAAAGTCCTTAAATTATTGCATAACTTCAATGAATCCATATGCATGATGCAGACTTCATCTTGCACCAGCTCTTTTCTCACGCTTTGTTGGTTTTACTTTCAAAAGTATTGATTACGAAAAGCAGATTTCAAACACAATGCATTAATATCAAAGCCTCTGCGTTTCCTTCAAGAGTATGCGCGCATTCAATCAACCTCGTCTGGACCTGCACTCTTATTCTGTAATTAGACATGTCAGCCACTCTAAACGACAACTCGGGCTGAAACGGCACTGCAGTGTGCACTTTAAAAAGCCAATACAAAAGAGAGTGACGGCGCACCAGATCAGCGGCCACCGAGGAAGAAACAAATGAGAAAAAGCAAATGTACCTGCTGCTTCTGCTGCTGCTGTTTGCTGAGGTTGCGGCAGTACGTATTGTACTTGCCGATATCTTGGCTCATGTCATCCATGCGGTCCATCAGCAGCTGAAGGCTCTTTTCCAGGTGGTTACTATGGAAACAGATTGACAGATAGTTTAGTCAAACAAAGTTTGCGTAATCAACGGCTGACTGCACATCAAAGCGTAATTGCTCCACAGTGATCTTCTACTCAATTAAAAACCCAAGATGACAGTAGCATGATGTGCCTGATAAGGATGACTATCTGCTCTGAATTTACATGGATGAGGGAGACGTCTACTTGTAGCATGTGCCGATTTACGAGGGGCCACCAAATATAACCTTCTCCTGATAGATCGGCTCTGTTCCAAACCCTATGTAGGCAGCATATTAGAAGGCGGTGCCAACGCAGAATCTGTTCCAAGTGCTACATATGTTGCTTTTGGACAAATTCTAAACAATTGCATGCATGCTTCATCAAGAAAGCAATCCCATAATGCATTCCCTAGTTGTTATACCACCAAACCTGAGTCAAGTCTGCCAAGCTCTTCATGTGAAAAGTGCTATTTGTATGTCATTCAAAGGTAGAGTGTGTAGAGGTGCCATTTCAGTAAGAATGCTATCTATTGGCGCTTTTCCACTGCATGGTACGGCACGGTACGGCTCGGTACGGTTCACTTTTGGGGGGTTTTCCACTGGGTACAGTATCTGGTACCTGGTACTTTTTTTAGTACCACCTCAGTTGGGGTTCCAAGTGAACCGTACCGTTACCAAAAGCAAACCAAGCCGAACCGAGCCGTGCCGTACTGAGCTGTGCCGAGCCGAGTCGTACCATGCAGTGGAAAAGCGCCATATGTAGGCAAGGCAGCTCACCAGAGTTTGGAACGGAGCCATTCTACCTCGTACTGTAATTCCCAGAAAGCCAGGTGAATTGCTTTATTAATCAAGATTAGGCTTTCGAAGACACAATCATTTCCATTTTTATCTAGGGATAGCGTGCAATCACAGAGCCCTTCCGAGAACATTTTGGAGCATTAGGAAAAAGATGACACCAGCTACTGAACACACTTTGAAGATAGTAGCGCACTGTTGCAAACTGGATTTAAAAAGTTTAATTGATACACTGTAAATATGATTGTCATTTTAATGGTAAGAGACTGTAAAAATGCTATGGTAACTGGTAAACGGAAAGTAAGTTCCCTTACTACATAGGGTGAAAAACTATAGCAGTAATACATCTGAGACATTCAATGTAATTTTACAGTAAAACACTGTAGAAGTGAAAAAGAACAAGTCACCTTATAATTTACAGTGAAACGCCTTAAACTGACATTCCCAGACATTCTTGGGACAGCTCACATTTGATGATTTTTTTCATTTAAATAACCGTTTCTTACATATGTTGTTAAATTAAAATGTATTGCATTATTTTATCACCACGTTACCATGATGGTGTTTATTTGTAAGACACTATGCATCTTTTCATTTACATCAGCTTTTGGAAGAGCTGTTGTGATGAACTGCGATTCCATCATGTGACTTTCTCTTTACCGCCTATGTTTTTATTGTAATTGCCAGTGTATTAATAAAAGTAAAAAACTGATTTACGTAATTTGGTATATTTTGGTATAAGTTCATTCTGTAAAGCATAAGTTGCTACCATACCTTTACACAAGGTTTTTTTTACCATAAATTTCAAAAAAATGTTACCGTATAAAACTAAAATTAAGACCTAGAGTAGATCAATCAATGCTTGT